TTTATGTGATGTATCATGTTTATTGATTTGCAAATATTGTACTATCCTTGCACCCACAGGATAAATCCTACTTGGTCATGGTGTATGATCTTTCTGATGTACTGCTGAATCCGATTTGCTAGAATTTTGTTGAGGAATTTGGAATCTATGTTCATGAGGGATATTGGCCTGTAATTCTCTTTCATTGTGTTGTCTTTATCTGGTTTTGGTATTAGGGTGGTGCTGGCTTCATAGAATGAGCTTGGAAGTGCTCCTTCCTCTTGAATTTTCTGGAATAGTATGAGGATAGTTTTTAGTTCTTCCTTGAATGCTTGGTAAAACTGCCATGTGAAGCCATCTGTCCCTGAGCTTTTGTGTGCTGGAAGCTTTTTGATGACTGCTTTAATTTCGTCCATAGTTATTGGCCTATTGAGATTTTTTGAATCTTCCTGATTGAGATTTGGAAGGTTGTATTTTTCTAGGAATATATCCATTTCCTCCAGGACGACTAGTTTGTTAGAATACAGCTGTTCATAGTATTTTGAAACAATCCTTTGTATTTCTGTGAGATCTGTTGTTATTTTGCCTCTTTCATTTCTGATTTTGTCTAGTGGGATCCTCTCTCTTTGCTTCTTGGTGAGCCTGGCTAGAGATTCATCAATCATGCTTATCCTTTCAAAGAGCCACCTCTTGGTTTCACTGATCTTTTGTATAGGTTTTGGTTGTTGTTGTTTGTTTTTGTTTTGTTTTGTTTTGTTTTTTTATTTTGTCTCTATGTCATTTATTTCTGCTCTGATCTTTATTATCCCATTCCTTCTGCTCAGTCTGGGCTTTTCTTGTTGCTCTCTTTCTATTGCTTTGAGTTGTAGAGTTAGATGGTTTATTACCATTTTTTCTTGTTTTTTGTTTGTTTGTTTGTTTGTTTTTGTTTTTTTGTGTGTGTTTTTAGGTAGGCCTGTAGATCTATAAACTTTCCTTTCAGGACTGGTTTCATGTGTCCCATATATTTTGGATTTTTGTGTTTTTATTGCCACTAGTTTCCAGGATGTTTTTAATTTCTTCTTTGATCTCTTTGCTAACCCAATCACTGTTTAATAGCATGCTATTCAGCTTCCAAGTATTTGAATTTTGGGGGCTGTTTTTATTGTAGTTTCTTTCTAATATTATGCCATCGTGGTCTGAAAAAATGCTTGATATGATGTAAATCTTCTTGAATTTGGGGAGACTTTGATTTTGACCCAATATGTGATCTATTTTTGAAAATGTCCCATGTGCACTTGAGAAGAATGTATATTCCGTAGCTTAGTGGTGAAATGTTCTGAAGATGTCAATTAAGTCCATCTGATCTAGTGAGTCACTTAGGATTACTCTTTCTTTGCTGATTTTTTGTCTAGGGGATTTATCCAGTGATGTCAGTGGTGTATTAAAGTTCTCTATTATGATTATATTGTTGTTGATTTCTCCCTTGATATCTTCTTGGAGTTTATGAAATTGGGTGCTCCTGCATTTGGTGCATATGTGTTTATCAGGGTTATGTCCTCTTGTATAAATCCCTTTAGTATTGTGAAATGGCCTTCCTTAACTCTTGTTATGGCCTTCAATTTGAGGTCAATTTTGTCAGATATAAGTATTGCTACCCCAGCTTTTTTTCATTTCCATTTGCCTGAAAGATGTTTTTCCATCTCTTCATTTTCAATCTACGTGGGTCCCTTGCTTTGAGGTAAATCTCTTGTAGACAGTATATATATGGACCATGTATTTCTATCCATTCACTCACTCGATGTCTATTGATTGGAGCATTTAGTCCATTTATGCTTAAAGTAATTATTGAAAGGTAATTGTTTGTAGCCATTTTTTATTTTTTGTGCCTGTGTTCTTTCTTACCCTCTTATTTCTTCTTTTTACACCAGTCCCTTTAGCATTTCTTGTGTTGCTGGCTTGGTAATGATGATAAACTTCCTTAGCCTATTTTTGTCTGTGAAGCTCCTTTTTTCCCATTCAATTTTGAATGATAGCCTTGCTAGGCAGAGTATTCTTGGATTCAGATCCTTACTTTGCATCACTTTGTAAATTTTCTTCCATTATTTTCTGGCCTGATGTGTTTCTGTTAAGAAATCATTTGGTAATCTAATGGGAGCTCCCTTGTATGTAATTTTCTGTCTTTCTCTTGCAGCCTTTAAGATTCTGTCTTTGTCCTGAACATTTCCCATTGTAAGTATGATGTGTCTTGGTGTGGGTCTTTTCAGGCTCATCTTGTTTGGGACTCTCTGTGCTTATGTGACTTTTTTCTTCCCCACATCAGGGAAGTTTTTTTTTGACATTATTTCTTCAAATAGATTTTCTAAGACTTGTTCCTCTTCCTATTGTTCTGGCACACCTATTATTTGTATGTTGCATTGTTTCATGTTGTCCCATAGCTCCCTTAGGCTATCCTCCTATCTTTTAATTTTTTTCTCCAATTGCAGTTCACTTTATGTGTGTTTTACTTCCCTGTCTTCTAATTCACTAATTTGATCCTCCGCTTCTCCTAGTCTACTGTTGAAACTTTCCATGGTGTTTTTTTTTATTTTTATTGCAGCTATATCACTCTTTATTTCCTCTTGATTCTTACATAAGTTATTGATTTTTTTCATCCATTTCTTCTTGAGTCTTACATACATTGTTGATTTTTTCCTCCATCCAGTTTATGAACTACAATATATGACCCTTATTCTGAATTCTTTTTCTGACATATTGCATGCCTCTCTTAGACTTAGCTGTTTTCTGGCAATTCCTCCTTTTCTTTCCTTTGGGGATTTCTTTGTCTACCCATTCTGGTCTCACCGACTGATCTAGATATCAAGTAGTGCAGGGGCTGCTCCTTGGGTGGAAGTGGCTCCTTGGGCTGCTGTTACTCCTCAGGCAGTTGTAGAAGCGGCTACTCCTCAGTTGGCAGTGGCTCCTCTGGTGGGTGCTGTTCACAGCAGTGGTGTCTCCTCTGGCTGGTGGGGAAGGCTACTTTCACAGCTGTTTTTCCTTGAACAGGGGTGGGCTGCTCACATGTCTGCTGCTCCTTGACTCAGGACTGGCTGCACGCTGCTGCAGTTCCTCAGATGGGGTGGGCTGCTTGTGAGGCTGCCACTTCTTGGACAGGGGCAGTTTTTTAGCAAGCTGGGGCTCCTCATATGGGTGTGGGCTCCTCGTGCAGTTGCTGCTCCTTGGATGGGGGATGGGATCCTCGCACAGCTGCTGCTCCTTGGACAGGGGACAGGCTGTTTGTGCAGCTGCTGCTCCTCGGGTGGTAGTGAGTTGCACATGCAGCTGCTGCTCTTCGGATGGAGGCAGGCCACTCACTGAGGCTGCATGTGGCTGCTGCTCCTCAGACCAGTGTGGGCTGCGCAGGGCTGCTGCTCCTCAGACATGGGTGGTCTGCTTGTGTGGCTGTTGCTCCTTGGTCTGGGGCAGGCTGCTTGGGCAGCTGCTGCTCCTCGAATGGGGGCGAGCTGCTTACAGTGCTTCTGTTCCTCATACAGAGGTGAGCTGCTCACATAGCTGCTGCTCCTCCGGTGGGGGCAGGCTGCTCGTATGGCTGCTATTTCTCAGACGGGGGCAGGTTGCTCGGGCAGCTGCTGCTCCTTGGACAGGTGCAGGATACGGGCTGCACACAGCTCCTGCTCTTCGACTGGGGGCAGGCTGCATAGGGCTTCCACTCCTCAATTGTAGGAGGGCTTCTCTTGTGTCTGCTGCTCTTCCAATGGGGCCGTCTGCTCACATGGTTGGTGCTACTCAGATTGGGGAGCAGGCTTCTTATACAGCTGCTGCTCCTTGGTTAGGGGCAAGCCACGTGAGGCTGCTGCTCTTGGGCCTGGGGTGGGCTGCTCATGGGGCTGCTTCTCACGTTTCTGCTGCTAGTGTTCTTGTAGTGCCCTTGGCTAAAGCATTGGGCCATTCAGAGGGGAACGTGCTTCAGAAATCACAGAAGCCTGTACCTGGTGTAGTTGGAGACTCTTTGATCATGGGTCCACAACTGAGGTAGCAGATCTCTGGCAGGGGTGGCTGTAGAGTCCCCGGTGTTCTCTGAGGGCACCATGGGTGTAGGTGAGGCTAGGCTCCCAGTTATAGCAGCTCTCCCCTTCAAAAAGGCTAGGCCCTTGAGGACAAGCTGGCTTCCTGGTACTGTTTGCAATGATAGCAGAGGCTGCCTAGTTAGGTGAGCCCAGTTAACCTGCCCCGAAGTTCCTGTGAGATCTAACTCTGCCTTACTTACATACACACCACACACACACACCCCTCATGACCACACACTCCTCTTTTGCTCCCTCACAAACTCTCCCTCACTGCCACCTTCTTCCTGCCTCAGTAGTTGGGTCTGGGGTGTTATTGACCCATTCGTGGATTGAGTTTCCTCTCCAGGTATCTGGTTAATGTGCCTTGCTCTCTAGCTCCTGGCCAGACAGGATAAAATTCACCTTGACAAGACACAACACAAAGGGAACAAAGCATGAATATACTCATGACACCAATGACCCCACTATAAATAACCATCTGAGAAAAGATAATTAGGGGAGAGAACAGATAACATGGATGATATTGAAGAGAGAGAAAAAGACAAGAGAGAAAATAAAAAGGAAGAAAAAGGAGAATATACTTATATGGGGAGAGAACACAACAGAACCAATAGATAAGCAAAAAAAAATTAAAAAAAATACAAACATCAAACACTCAGCAAAGAGGGTGGGAGCAGAATCTGTAGAGGCTGAGCTTATATACAGAAAATAAGGTTAAGAATTGTATTAATACGGGGAGGTCCTCAGTTCAGTGTAGTGGAAGTAGAAAGGGAATGGGTGGATAAAAAGAAAAATAATGAGAAGAAAATAATAATAAATATACAAAAAACTGATTTCAAAAATGGTATAAAAAATAAAAAATAGAAAATAAAATAAGAGTGATGGAAGGATAATGTGAAAATAAATATAAAATAAAGCAACAAATAAAAATAGAGAAACAAAGAAAAAATAAGAAAAAAAGATAAAATAGACTTCGCGGTGAAGATGGCGTCCAGCAGTGGGACGAAAAACTTGGACTTTCGCCGCAAGTGGGACAAAGATGAATACGAGAAGCTCGCTGAGAAGAGGCTCACGGAAGAGAGAGAAAAGAAGGATGGAAAACCAGTGCAGCCAGTCAAGCGGGAGCTTCTCCGGCATAGGGACTACAAGGTGGACCTGGAATCCAAGCTTGGGAAGACAATTGTCATTACCAAGACCACCCCACAATCTGAGATGGGAGGATATTACTGTAATGTCTGTGACTGTGTTGTGAAGGACTCCATCAACTTCCTGGATCACATTAATGGAAAGAAACATCAGCGAAATCTGGGCATGTCTATGCGTGTGGAACGTTCCACCTTGGATCAGGTGAAGAAACGTTTTGAAGTCAATAAGAAGAAGATGGAAGAGAAACAAAAGGATTATGATTTCGAGGAAAGGATGAAGGAGCTCAGAGAAGAAGAGGAAAAGGCCAAAGCCTACAAGAAAGAGAAACAGAAGGAGAAGAAAAGGAGGGCTGAGGAGGACTTGACATTTGAGGAGGATGATGAAATGGCAGCTGTGATGGGCTTCTCTGGCTTTGGTTCCACCAAGAAGAGTTACTGAGGCTTTCTATGCTTGGCCCTTTGCTGGGCTTAACTTTGAGTGTGGGCGGGGTCATTTTTTCGTGCAGGGGGAGTACTTGGGAAAGTCCTTAACTGGCAATGGGGAGGACTAGAGGGCGGGTGTTTATAGTTTCCCTCGACCTTGAGAGAAAGCACAGGAGGTAGAGGTAATGCTGTGGCATGTTCCTTTAGCCTCAGTGTATCACCCGCATCACAGGCCCTTTGCCCATCTGTTCCCAATAAAGAAAAACCTCTTCTGAGGCTGCTTTCCCAAAACTTCCCCTGCATCTTTCCCTCTTCGTCTATCCAGTCTTCTCCGAGCATCCTACATTTATCCTGTGTTCTGCCTTTGTTTTAATTTTGGCTCTTGCTTGGCCTTCCACAGAAACGTTCTCTGGGCCCCCAGTTTCTAGTTGATATATCCTTGACCAGCCACTCCCCACACCCCACAGTGGTTCTCTGGCCACCTATGCATGCATGTGTACTTTTGCCTGGGTCTAGTATGTGCGGATGTGTGTGCATGAATCTGTCACATAGGGGGAGCCTGAACTAGAACCTCAGAGCATTATTGCCTTGGGGCTCGATAGCCTTGGTTCCCTCAGTGCATGAAATAGGAAATTAAATGGAATGAGTGTTTGGTGTGGATTTTGTCTGTTGAGTTTTTTTAACCTTTGTTTTTCATATGTAGATTGTTAAGCTATTCCTGTTTGTTTTATTTTATTGAGGATTACTCTGTTTTTGTCTTCCTTGTGAGCAGGCTCTTGGAAGAACCTGTTTGATGCAAAAAAGAAAACGGAAAAAAACACACACCCTCAAATGGGAGCCTTTGTGTGTCAGAGGCTGTTCAACATGTATAATAAATGGCATTGACTGGGCCTATTTCACATTTGTGGAAACATTCAAAAAAAAAAAAAAAAAGATAAAATAATAATCATAACAAATGAAAAAGAAAAAGTGAAATGTTGTTCCTTTGGCTGGCTTAAGATCCCAGTCTTCTGTACTGTACTATTTCTCAGATTCATGTTGCTGGGACTGAAGGTCTCTCTTTAGGCTAGTCCCTTTGGACTCTCAGGGACTATTTAGATTTTTTTTTTTAATCCTTTATACCATTCAGGGTGGAGTCTGGGTGGGGCTATATTAATTGTCTGGACACTGGAGGGAGGGGCTATCACTTCAGGACAAAATAGCTGCCCAGGTCCCAGGCTCAGGTATGACTCAGCACCAGACTCACTGCTACTTCTCCTGGACCCCCTCCTTTCCCCAGACTCCCAGAGTCTGCAGCTTCTCCCTCAGCTCAGCCATGGGTAAGTGTCTGTATCCAAAAGGTCCTATGAACTAGGTTCAGTGAAGAAATGCTCAGGCCACAGAGAGAGGAAAGATGGCACCTTTACGTGCTCCTCTCCTGCCTGTTCTGTGCTGTCTGGCCAGCCCTTTAGTCTGCCCCCTCTGGGTTCAGCCTTTTGTGGCTATGGACCCAGATTTAGAATCCTCTGCCGTCCAACACTCCTGTGACTCTTTTTTCCACAGTCAGATGCTGTGCCTGTCCCCAAGGATGCGGCTTGGTGCTCTCCTGCCCAGATCCTTGATTTTACCTTTCTGCAGGGATCGTCTGCCCTTCCTGGCTGCAAACTGTTTCACCAGCCGAGTCTCCTCCGCCAATTCGGGTTGGATGTTATTTGTTTCAGCTGCTCATTCTATTTGCTCAGAGACAAGGCTCAGGACAAGTCTGTCTATTCTGCCACCATTTTGTCTGCACTCTGGAGAAACCAATTTACCAGCACCTAGATTCCTGGAGTTTTAGCAGAGCCTAACTGACCTAGGGGAAGGAAATGTTTGACTCTAGCTGGCTCTAGCATCTATGTGAACGAAGAGAAACACCGAACTTCAGCCCACTCTAAACATCCTATTCCAACTAAGGGGAAAAACTGAGAAGGTGACCCAAGAGGCCTCTGATCAATAAGATTTAGAAATTGGGAGCCCCAACTATCCTCTTAAATGTTTTTATGGAGAAAAAAGAGAGTGTGATCCCTAAAATAGGCAGCCCTACATCAAAATGTGGGGTTCCAATATCCAAAGTTAAAATTCCAATGAAGAACCAAATTAATTTCAGCATCACAAAAGAATGAGACCTAATCATATGATTATAAAATGCTTCTCCTCTCCCCCAATGCCTTACTACCACATTACCAAAGGCCTATTTACCATATTTCCTTTTACCCAGTACATCAAATTCACCTTTCAACAAAAAAAGTATAAAGCATACTAAAAGGAAACACACACACACACACACACACACACACACACACACAAACAACCACATAGTTTAGAGACTGAACACAGGGATGTTGGAATTATCACACCATTTTTTTTTAAGCAAGTAAGGCCAAAACCGGTTTGGCTCAGTGGATAGAGTGTCGGCCTGTGGACTGAAAGGTCCCAGGTTTGATTCCGGTCAAGGGCATGTAGGGGCACATCCCCAGTTGGGGATGTGCAGGAGGCAGCTGATCGATGTTTCTCTCATCTATGTTTCTAACTCTCTATCCCTCTCCCTTCCTCTCTGTGAAAAATTAATAAAAAAATTTCTTTAAAAATAATAATTAAAAAAATAAAAAGCAAGTAAGAATTTATTGATCACAGCAAAAATAAAGAAGAAAAGACATAGAAGAAGCAACAGGAGAGCCTAGGCTGTGCTGCCTTAGCTCACTGGGAAGTCAAAGACAGATTCAGGAGGTTAGTCCAGGCTGAGCTGCCGGTGCCTATTACTCCCCTGGTTGCAATTCTCACATCCCTTAGAAGTTAGGGGACATGTGCCTGTGGAGGAAGGAGAGGGAGAAGGGAATGGCACAGGAGTGCTTCCTAGAGGGAGAGCACAGACCAGGAATTTTTAAAAATTATGATTAATATGCTAAGGGCTTTGATAAATAAAGTAGACAATATGCAAGAACAGATGGATAATGTACACAGAGAGAAGGAAAATCTAAGAAAGAATCAAAAGGAAATATTAGACATTGAAGACACTAACAGAAATGAAGAATACCTTTAATGGGTTCATTCATAGACTGAAAATAGCTAAGGAAATACTCTCTGAGTTTGCGGATATGACAATAGAAACTTCAAAAACTGAAAAGCAAATATGAGCAAAAATCCAGAACAGAATATCCAAGAACTGTGGGGAAATTACAAAAGGTGTAACATATATATAATGGGAATATCAGAAGGAAATGAGAGAGAGAGAGAGAGAGAGAGAGAGAGAGAGAGAGAGAGAGAGAGAGAGAAGAAGAAGAAGAAGAAGAAGAAGAAGAAGAAGAAGAAGAAGAAGAAAATGTTTGAACTAATATGATTGAGAATTTTCTAAATTAATGCCAGATACAAGCCTACAGATCCAGGAAGCTCAGAGAACAGCAAGCAGGATAAATGCCAAAGAAACTACACATTGCATGTTGTATTCAAACTTCAGAAAATCAAAAATAAAGAAGAAAAACTAGAAGAAGCCAGAGTTAAAAACACCTTACCTTATAAAGGAGCAAAAATAAGTATTTAACTGACTTTTCCTCAGAAATCATGCATGCAAGAGGAGAATGAAGTAAATAGTTAAAGAGAAAAAAAGGCACCAACATAGAATACTGTATCCTGCAAATTTATCCTTCAAAAATGAAGGAGAGCCAAAACTGGTTTGGCTCAATGGATAGAGCGTCGGCCTGCAGACTTAAGGGTCCGGGTTCGATTCCGGTCAAGGGCATGTACCTTGGTTACGGGCACATCCCCAGTGGGGAGTGTGCAGGAGGCAGCTGATCAATGTTCCTCTCTCATCGATGTTTCTAACTCTCTATCCCTATCCCTTCCTCTCTGTAAAAATCAATGAAATATATTTTTTTTAAATGAAGGAGAATTAAAGACTTTCTCAGACAGACAAATATTGAGGAAATTTTCTATCAGTAGATCTACATTAAAAGAAATGTTAGCCGAAACTGGTTTGGCTCAGTGGATAGAGCATCAGCCTGTGGACTGAAAGGTCCTGGGTTCGATTCCGGTCAAAGGCATGTACCTTGATTGTGGACACATCCTCAGTAGGGGGTGTGCAAGAGGCAGCTGATGGATGATTCTCTCTCATCACTGTTTCTAACTCTCTATCCTTCTCTCTTCCTTTCTGTAAAAAATCAATAAAATATATTTTTAAAAGAAAAAGAAATGTTAAAAGAAGTTTATGTGCCTTTAAACACAGTAACTTGCACTTTGGTGCAACAAGGAAAATGATATAGGTCAGAAATGCAAATCTGCATGAAGAAAAAAAGAGCATCAGAGAATAAATATATAAAGGTAAAATAAAACTTTTATTTTTTTATTCTTAATTGATCTGACATGTAACACCTTGTTCTAAATAATAGCAATAATGCATTTGATTATGTGTACTTATGTATAAGTAAATGAATGATAGCAATGATGCAATAGATAGGAGAGAGGATTAGAAATATTTTGTTGTTTAAGGTACTGCACTATGCATCAGGTAGCATAGGGAAAACAAATAGAAAACAGTAACAAATATGGTAGACATTAATCCAACTATATCAATAAATACTTTAAACACAATGGCCTAAATGTACTGCTTAAAAGACAGATTGTCAGATTGAATAAAAAAATAACACCCAACTATATGTTGTCTACAAGAAATTCAGTTTCAATATAGACATATAGATTAAAAGTAAAAAGAAAAAAAGTAAAGGGATAGATAGAAATATACCTTGCTAACACAAATCAACAGAAAGTAGGAGTAGGTATAATAATTTCAGACAAGTAAAAATCAGAGTAAGTAAAGTTATCAGGGATTAAGAAGGGGATCACAAAGTGGTAAAAGGGTCAGTTCTCCAAGAAGGCGTAATTATCCTTCATGCATATACACCCAGCAATATAGTGGCAAGATGCATCAGAAAAAAACTGAAAGAACTGTGAGGAAAAATAGATGAATCCACTATTATAGTTGAAGTCTTTAGTATCTCTCTCAGAATTGGACAGATTCAGCAGTCAGAAAATCAGAAAAGACATAGTTGAACTCAACAATACCATCAATCAACTGGATGTAATTGACATGTATAGACTTATTTCATCCAACAACAGCAGATTATACATTCTTTTCAAGATTACATGGATCAATTCAGGACAGCATAGTTCAGTGGTTGAGTGTCGACCCATGAACCATGAGAGCACGGTTTGATTCCTGATCAGGGCTCAATCCCAGTGTGGGTTGTGCATCAAGCAGCCAATCAATGATTCTCTCTCAT